ATGGTCTTATCGATCCTGAATCGATCTCTTCATCTGAAATCATCAAGATGTTCTATCAAATGGGGTATATTGGGGATATCTCTATATTGTCGAAATTCAGGAAGCCCAGCCTTCCTCTTATCTGGAATGGGCTCTTTACTCTCATGTTCAAAAGTTTCTCTGAGCGGGTTACTAGGTCTGACAATGCTAGCAAGTTGTTCTGCACAATTATCTATGGTCTTTTCTCTAGAGTTAACCTAGATTATGGTTCCATTCTTTGGGCACAAATTGTTCAGAGCACACTCTCCACCTCCAGACATTCAGAAATTTCATGTGCTCGCTTTTGGCCAGTCATTGTAAAGCGCGATATCTCTCGTCTTCAGATTCAAGTGAAGGATGACTCCATACTAGCTGTTATTCCCATATTGCACACTTCCAACATTATTGTGTCTGATCCAGCCAAGCTTAACTTCATTGGGTCAATTCCAGAAGCCATGTTGCTGAATGTTCTTGCTGATAATCACATTGTGAATGAATACCGAAAGAAGCCTGCATCTGGTGTTTGTCCTATGCCAAAAGATCTGCTAAAGGCTATTGATGAGGCGAACAAACCCAAACGTGGGGCAAAGCGAAAGGTTAAGGCAGGTCCTTCCAAACCTGTCACAACTCCGAAGAAGAAAATTAAGAAGGCTGCTCGGAAACCAAAGTCTCATTCTCCAGTCGCTGAGGAGGATTCGGAATCCCATACTGTTTCAGATGTTCGGAGGGGTGAACAAATTCAGAAGGAAGTAGAGGATATAACTGCGAATTCAGAGCCATTGGTCTTGGAACCTACTCCAACTGAATCTATTCCGAAGGTATCATCTCCGATTTTAATTTCCATTCCTTTAACAGATGATTTCTTTAATACATTACCTCCTCCACTTTCTCCGACCACCACTTCTTCTTCACTTACAACCACTACCCCTATCGCCATTTCTCCATTACCAAATGTTTCTGTTGGAGTTTCTCAATATCAAGTTTCTTTTCCTCTCTCTACTTCGTTGTATACCGACTCCACTGCAACCACAACCACCACCAGTACTGCGATGTCGATTGCCAACATATCTGATATGGGGGCATATGATTTCGATGTCACTGTAGGTCCAAGCACCTCTACTGCTTCACCTTTGAGAGAAGATGATCCTGACATTGTCTTTGGGGATGAACATGATAATTTTCAAGAATTCATTTTTACTCCTTTCACAGTTCCTCAGGCAAGTGATGATGACGAAGCCGCAATGACGAAAGGGCAGTTCAAAGCCCTCAATAAAAAATTGGATTCTCTAATAGATTCTTCAAAATCTTCGTCAAATTATGAGTATTTGTTTCAGTCTCATAAAGCAGTAAATGAGACGTTCATGAAGGAGCATGCCAAAAACATCGCTGCCTCCACAAAGGCTGTTGAAAATTCCGAGAAAGCCATTCGGGAAACGACCGAAAAAGCCGAAAAACTACTTGTCGAAGTTTCGCAGTTTATGGCAGAATTCCGAACCTCTTCGAATCAAAACATAGTTGCAGCAAACAAAGTTATCACAAGTCTCAGAACAACCCTTCAACTTGAAAAAGAAGCACTTTCTAAGGTTCGTTCTGCCCTCAGGGTTGATAATGCTGAAATGAGCGCTTCAATTGTATCCAAGATTGACAAGCTTCAGCAGGATCTTGCAACTGAAAATGTGATAATGGACAAACTGGATCAGAAGAATGAAAAAGCCAAGATTCTCTCTGTTAAGCTGAATTACACAACAACGCGTCTCGATCGAAATGGAAAAAGTGGGTTTACAGCCAATATTCACGATTCGGGGCTGTTTGCGGCCGTAAACGGTTTTCGACCGTGAACTGAGTTGCGGCCGTGAACGGGTTCCTGCCATGAACTGATTTCGACCTTTGAAGATTTAGAGATGTTCTTGGTGTTCTTGGTGAAAAACTTGAAGATTTGAAGGTTGGATCTTGAAGGTTTGAATGTTCTTGGGAGAGATCTGAGAGGATTTTTGAGTGAAAATGATGAAAAATGAGAAATCTCTCCGGGAAAATCTATATATCAGTTGAGTTTATGGCCGGGAACAGGGTTATGGCTGTAAACATGTTTGCGGCCGTAAACACAATGATAAACGAGACTTGGCTGATTTTTGAAGTAAAACTTGATTTTTCGCGTGATTTTGGTCCTGACACTTATATAAATTTAATTTATATAATCTAAGTTGTTTTCAACCCTTACGAGTTTGACAAAATAAATAAAATTTGAAATTTTTATTTAGTGGAATTAACTTTTGTTGACCGGAAAGTATCGGGTTGTCACAGATAGTGATTTGGTAATAGACGACGATAATGTAATTTCTATTTCGATAATAGAAGTTTCATGTTTTCTACAGTTCAATGTATGTTCAATAATTGTGATCACTGGCTACGTCGCACAACACGACATTTCCACCGTCGGCCGTGGGTATGACAAACAGAGACATAACAAGTACTTGAAACAATTGAATGTAAAAAAGGCAAATGGTAGGGTTTTTTTTAGCCCGGTTACTAAATGGTGGAGCCCTTGTTTGGTGGAATATAACTTATTGTGTTATGAGAAAAAGAGGTCTCAATTAAATCAGGATGAACTTGTGAACCGTATCAAAGCAAAGTTTTTTTTTTCCAAATCGTGATGTTGAGAAGCTATTTGAAGAATTATTTACTTTTTGCAAACACAATATGTCTGATCCCTTTTAGACAAAGCACATTACCTACCAAACTTCCAAAGATCATTGATATGTAACAGTCTTCCAGTGGAATATAAATTTGAAGTAAATAGTGAAATTACTTTAGATGATGCTATTATTTCTGCCTGTAAATGAAAGATTTGATAAGAAGATGAATCAAAGAACGGCAAGTGTTTAGATATATGAATAGAAAGATGGATGAAACCATCAAATAATAAAATGAAAGTCGAAATTCTAGAAATATAAATAATTCAAACATGTCGAAAGAAACAAAGAAATGTCATATGTATGGAAAAGTGCATCGATGAGAATGTCGATACATGTTCTTGAATTGTAAAAATTGAAAAAAAAAACAAAAACAAAGGCACAAAGCTGCTGTGTACTGAAAAAATGAAAATAAATTAAATGTTATTCTTGCCATTAGGAAGTGACACATTAGCACACAACGTTCAAAAATGGATACATAAATATTATCATATACCACCAACAAGAGATAAGAACCAAAGAAGGTGAAAGGAAGGCTTTTTCAAATGACTTTGCATGAAGCGAAGGATGCTAATGATGTTGTGACAAGTACATTACTCATCAAATTTATTCATATAAATATCTTATTTGATTCTAATGCTAATTATTCGTTCATATCACATGACTTTCGTATTAGATTTGAAGTTTTATTAGTAGCCCTAAATGAAGCATATGTCATTGAAATTGCAAATGGTGAATTTGTTATCATTCGCCATGTATATCTGAATCGTGCGTTATTGATAGACAAGGAGATATTCAAAGCAAATTTATTACCAATAGGGATAAAAGAATTTGATGTAGTGATGAGTATATATTGGATTTAGTAGTGTGTCGAGACAACCATCTCAATGAGGGAATGATGGCATTATGATGCCTAAATGAATACAAGCTATGAATTATGAAAAATAACTAATACAAGCTATGACTAATGGAAAATAAGCTCCGTGGGAGTGTCACTTTCATCATAACTGGATAAGGAGCCGACGATTCTGGTAATGTGGACGTAGACTCCCCAAAACTTATATGCTAGAAAATCATGCACTGCATTATGCATGAAATTATATGTTTAAACTGGTACTTTATGAAATGATTTCAAATGGATTGGAATTGAATCGAAAATTATTAAATTCTATTGTATTTAAAACATATGTATCTCATGAGACAAAATTTCTTGCGTATTTAAGGTAAATGACATGTATCCATGTACCGAAGGGAATTAATAGTGACATAAACTACTGGATGGAGCTTTTGGACTAAAAGAAATGTTTTGAGGACTTAGAAGGGAGACAATATATCTTTTGGATTATAAATGTATGTAAATAACTTATGAATTCTTTCTATGCTTTAGTATATTATTTTGTAACTCCCATGTAATGTATATGCATCTTTTGGAAAAAGTTTTAATTTCTGACTAATTTCCTCACATATGAAATGTTTTGGAAAAATGAACATAAATAATTATTTTGTTTATATGATATGAAAGTTAAGGTGTTACAAGTTGGTATCAAAGACATAGTTTAAATGAATTAGGTATGGACTTTCCACACTTAGGCCTAAAACTAGGAGAGATTATAAAGAGAACAAATCTTTGACCACTATCAGTGACAACTTAGGTCCTATGTGTTATCATAGAATTACATGTTTTAGGAATATCATTCCATTCCATATTACACGCTTTCCATCGATAAAATTCATATAAAGTTTGGAACATAACTGAACTGGAATCCATTACAAGATAAAACTCGAGCTTTCCGAACGATAAAGTACCATCATATAGAAATTTTGAATCATTAATGGGCGATTAAAGCTTCATCCGGATGGTCTTACCTTCAAAAATAAAAATTGATAGTTATATTGGAAAAAAATGATGATGTCTAAATTTTTTAAAAAAAATTAGTGTTTATTTTGTTAGATTTATTTTTATTTATTTTTTCAATGATCTAATTCAGTAAGATGTATGTATAGATTATTTCTCGCAATAGAAGCAATAAATTCAAAATTCAGCGAGACGAGTAGACGACCATAACGTTCAGTCGTTCACTAGTAATTGATGCTAATTTTGACCATTAGATGAAGACTTGATTTTGTTTTCAATTTTTTGGTGCTCTACTCTACTGCGTATGATGTATGATGATGTATCTACCTCTCTTAACTTTTTTTTCTTAAATATTTACGAGTAGAGACTAGCACAAGGTGGTAGACCCCCATCATAGACCCCAAACCTCAACCCCAAAGATCCCGATATTAATTGATATGCCCCATGAAAAGCCTCCATACGAGTCTGTTTGTGAAGCTTTTCAACTTCTTGTGGTGTAGCTTTACTTCTAAAATAATTCGCTGCTCTTCTATTTTGTCCACTTTTTCCTTTGATAGCTAAAGGATAGCTTTATTGATGTTTCTTGGCTTCTTCATCGACAATTCTTGCTTTTTGATTGGTCTTCTTGGATATTTTTTGCTTTGACTATGGGAATTGAATTCTAATCGATCCCCTGAGGGTTTTTTGGTTTCCAGGAAAAGAGAAATTTGGGGTTTTGACAAAGAAAAAAGATTATTGACTCTGATTTTGGAGTCTGCGAATCATCGTGAAAGCTCCTTGTATACAATTTCTTGATTATCATGGAAAGGAAAAGATACCCACAAGAAATTGAGAGTTTCCGAGGAGTTTAATTATAGAAGGGTTTTCCTCTTTCCCAAAAAGCGATTCTAAAAGATTGAACATTTAACGTTTGGGTAAAATTCTGATTTGGGTTTCTCGCAACTTCCATAAAGAAAAATTTCGAGCGCTTTTGGCTATTAGTAGCAGTTTGAGTGTATTCAGCTAAGCAAAGTCTCCGTGGTGATCACAATTAACAGGTCAGATTCTTCAATATTTCTTTTAATCAAGTGTTTCTTTTGTTTGTATTAGGGTTAATATTTCAATATTTATGCTTATTTCTCTACTCAAGACTCATGATAAAGAAAGATCTTAGTTTAAAGACACCTGATTGAAATTTGTATGAATTTTCTTCCTAAAAGTCTGTAAACAAAAAAAAAAATTCAGTAAATCCTATGTTGCCCTCTTTGACACTCAGTTCACTCTGACACTCCATTGTTGCCCTCTTTCGCATGCAATTAGTTTATAAGATGCTTATTTTTTTTACCAAAACGACGAAAAATCGACGACCCATGCATTACTGCCGACACTTGGTTTAAAGAGTCCGCACTGAAATTCGTATGAATTTTCTTCCTTAAAGTCTGTAAATCTTGTCTAATGTAATTGACCAGTGTTTATTTTGATAAAAATCTCGTGTTCCAACCTTTTTGCAGACTTCGATTAGCTCTTTTACACAGATGGGGACTGACATTACTGAAACTGTGGAGAGCTTCCCATCGCCGATTAACATCAAGGTATTGATTTGTGATTAATTTCAGATTAATTCGAGTTATTTCAGATTGTTATCAGAGCTCAAAGTCTAATTTATTAGTGACATATTGGTGAAACCAGGTGCATAGCTTTATGTGTACAGAACTTATGAAGCTAGTCCATAGTGTTCGTGAAATATTTCCAGAAATAGAAGCAGCTAGACCTCGATGTGAATCTGGTATTCAGTCACTTGTTCACTTAAATATTGCAATTGATAAAGCCAAATCGTTGATTCACGATTGCAGTGAATCCAGTAAGCTTTACTTGGTATGTATGTGCTTTCCGATTATAAAATTACATTTTTTTATACGATATCTCAATTGGGTTTTTTCCAATTTTGACATTTGATTTTGGTTTATCTTGAATTTATTCAGGCACTCACAGGAAATACGGTTCTTTCAAGATGTAAAAAAACAAAAATCTTATTGGAACAGAGTTTGAGCCAGATACAAAACATGGTTCCTGTGATGCTTGCATCAAAGGTTAGTTAATTTATCATATGATGATTTGAAAATGATACGAATTATTATATCATGGAATTAATACAAAAAATGTTACATGTAGATCTCACTGATAATTACAGACCTTAGGAGGATGAAAATTAGTTTAGATCCATCTGAAGAAGAAGCTGGAAAAACTGTAAAAACATTACTCAAAGGGTACAATAATACTGGAAATTCTTCAGAATATGAAAATGAGTGTATTCGAATAGTTGCTTTAAAGCTTCAAATAACATCTCAAAAAGCTCTTTTAATTGAACGAAGATCAATCAAGAAACTTTTAAACAAACTTGTTGAAGGAGATAGTGATCAACAAAAGAAACAGATTCTCATGATCCTTTTGGATTTGCTAAAAAAACATGGACATTCAATTGCATCTGTGCATGAAGAGAATGATAGCATTGTTCAAAGTCAAGTTTATTGGTCCCGTGGAGTTGACTATTCTGTTGACCGTGAAGAACCTCCAGAAGAGTTCAAGTGTCCGATTTCTCTCAAGGTGATGTATGATCCTGTTGTTATTGATACTGGAGAAACATTTGAAAGAATGTGGATTCAGAAATGGTTTGATGAAGGTAATGATATTTGTCCAAAAACTAAAAGGAAACTATCAAACTTTTCATTGACACCAAATACGACAATGAAGGGTATGATTTCACAATGGTGTGAGACTCATGGTGTCACTATTTTGGATCCATGTGTTGACTTTTCAGCCGATGTAAGCACGTGGGAGAATTCATCTTCTTCGGTTACTAGTTTGAGCTCTATGTATAGTCTTCAACTTCCGGTTGTTGATTTTAGTAACTTATCGCTCAGTTCTTTGGAAAATACTCGTGATATGGATGTGGAGTTATCTCAAGAACTTGATGATTCGCTTCCATGGAAGTCACAATGCAAATTTGTTGATGATCTCATGGCCCGTTTGAATGATGATGATCGTGGTTGTCGATTCATATCATGCGAGAATTTGATTGAGTCGATTGTGAGATTCTTGAAGGTTGCACGCGATATAAATGATGTTAAAGCTCAGAGAATCGGATGTTTGCTATTGCAAATCTTGATAACCAAATGCAGGTATTTATGCGACCTTTGTAGAATTACTTCTTTAACGATTTTCATATTGAAATTACAAAAAGTTTCAAATTTTTTTTTTTTTTTTTTTTCAGAAGTATAAAAGTATTGAGTAACGATGCATACGAGTTGATATCAGAGTTCCTTGATTCGGAAATGATAGAAGAGGCGCTCGCTATAATTGAAAATTTGTCTTCCCACCAAAATCATCGATCTGAAATCGCATCTTCTCGTGTTCTCACTCAAATTTTAAAGATTCTCGATTCCCAAATTATACAATTTCAAACTCCAGCCCTAAAAATTCTCTATAACTTGACTTCGAACAGAAACTTCCGTTCTCTCCTTTCATCAGATCTAATCCCTAAACTTGTCGCCCTTTCTGAAGACGAATCACTCTCAAAATACGGCATAGCAATCTTGACAAATCTATGTGGGAATCAAGATAATAAAAGCATAATTGCAGAAACCGAAGGGTGTGTATCTTTTGTCGCTAGGGTTCTTGAAAGCAAGAGTTGTGAGGAGCAAGAACAGGCTTTAGAGATTCTTCTTTCGTTATGTTCTCAAAGCATTGAGTATTGTAGATTGGTGATGGATGAAGGGGTGATTCCTGATGTTGTTTCTATTACCATAAATGGAAATGATAAAGGAAAAGCAAAAGCACATGAAATGCTTCGGCTTTTGAAAGATGTTGAAGAGCCTGTGGAAGAATCTCCTCCACCTGTTTATGATGTTTTAAAGGATTCAAATAACTTTCAGGTTGAAAAGAAGACGTCTTCTAGAGCTTCAAGGTTTTTTTCAAAGTTTTCTTCTAAAGGTTCTTTGGCTCAAAAAAGGAAAGTATAGGTAGGTAATAATTTGACTTATATACTTTCTTAAATCTATCACTTTATAAACTATGTTATCTTATCAACAATCTCCATTTTTTCTGCAGGTTTTGCAGTTATTTTCTCAACCATATGTGCAGTTTTGGGTGGATTGATCTAATAACTCTATTTTTTTAGACTTGTTATTGTTTGTGTATATTAGTTGTAGTAGAATAGTCGTATGCAGACACTATTTAAACTGTAAACACGCATGAAGGAATGTTCGTGTTCTTCAGGATTCTTAACTAAAGGTTCACCAGATTAATTTTGTGTGAAGAATCCAACTTGAGTTCAGAATCATGATTTATCCCGCTGATAGAAAAATCTGTAAATGTTATACCATTTAGTTAACTTCAAGAACTAGTTTGTAGACGTAAAGAACTGGTTATGTACTTCATTTCTTTAGATCATGGTGATCTACATGTAAAGTTTTTGTTGGCTGTTTCTTTTTTATGGTTTTTGAACAATCTGTATTTGGTTTTGGATCTTGTTAACATTTCTGGTGATGGGTATTCGGTTTTTTGATCTTATATTCAAGATTTGTTTTCCCTTTTTATTAAGAAAATATCTCATAAGAAAATTATTTAACCTCTAATATAGGAATTCATCTATTGTAATTACTTTTATTTTATTTTGTATTTCTTTTGTATTATGTATACTCTATAAAATATCCTCCAAATATATGGTGAATTTATCAAAACTTTACATGGTATCAACCCAATTATTGATTCTCTTCTAACCTTATTTTAGGCAACCACTATCTCTCCTCTCAATATGCCCACTGGCCATGAATCCTACCTCCCTCTTTATACCCTTCTTCACATGCTTGCTGTCAAACTTTCTTCGTCAAGTTACCTTTCTATGGAGAAATCAAATCTTGCCACCTCTACCTTACTAGAAACTTCTAGGTTATGTCGACGACACCATAACACTGTTGCCTCCCATCATTGAAACCACAAGGCAAGCCGCCCCTAATCCTGCCTACTCCACTTGGCAAGATGGTGATCAACGTGTTCCCATCCTCTTTCAGTCTTCTCTTTCTAAAGAAGTTGTAGACGAAGCCTCAGTCTTAAAGATGTTCGGTCCGTATGATATGCCCTTAAAGCAGCCTATAGCCACGACCCTATTGAACGCATACAAAGTTTATGTGATTATTTATGACAACCACAAAAAAAACAACTCTTTTGTAACATCCCAAAAAATCATGATAAAAATTTTCATTTTTCAAAACCATTTAATAACCCAAAAGTCATACAAAACATTATTTCCAAAAAAATCATAATCATAAATCAGAGTATCCTAAAATCATCTATCAATAAAATATACAAGGATGTTGTGCACAATCACGCATTTGTCTTGCCGCGATCATCTAATGAATCTGAAACCATGAAATCAAGCTGTAAGCCAAAGCTTAGTGAGTTTCACCCAATATACCATACACAACCAAATCGGTAACAACATGCATATACGAGCCTTCAGCCTGACTAGACCGCCTCGCACGGCCTACAATCTATCCGGACCGCCCCGAATATCTTGACCTTTAGCACAAAGCAGGACCGCCTCAACCCAACCGCACTATGTCGACATATGCAACATATAAACATAAACATATAACCAACAAGTACAGGTAATCATATAGATCTACCAATCTAACAACTCACTACAACATAGCAACATCCTACATACCGGTATACATAACACAACCTAGTAGATCGACATAGGTGCCTTCGACTCACGAGTACAGTGAGGAAAACTCACCTCAAAACCCAAAAGATAGTTGAACTGGTCATTGCTCCAAATATCGGCTCTACATGTTACCTATACATTAAATAGGGACCAAAACTCAATCCATTACTCAAAATACCCTAAAGGCATAAAGTCAAACTTGGTCAAAGTCATCGATCAACGATCAAAAAGTCAAAGGTAAACCTTCAGCTAGTCGTCAAGTCGTGGTCATCCTTGGTCACGTCGTGGCAGGGAAATGACAAAACAGACGGGCTCTTGCCCAGTCGCCACGCTGTGGCGACCTAAGGCCACGCCGTAGGCACTGGGTTCCTAACAACTTAATGGGTTGAGTCCTTTTCTTCGATTCTAAGGGCTCCAAAGCTCAGATATGGTCAATTATATGGTCTAAATGGGTAAAGTTTCCAACTTAATCCCTTAAGACTCTCCAAGAGATCAAGATCTCAACTCCTAGGTCCAAAAAGGGCAAAAACATAACATGGCTTAATCATCAAGCACTTAATCTTAAGGGTCTCTTGTCCAACAATTCCAGAAGGGTTCCTAGCACCAATACTAACATAAAAATTTGTGCTTTTCAGACATGCATGTCCAATGCATGTCTTGAAATCATGTTAGGTCAAAGCAAGGGTTAATGACCAAGATTCCATGCATGACACCAAAACTTATACCTACTTTAGATCCAAAACACCAAATACTCCTAATGGCCTGGAGATTCATAAAGTTGTAAACTTTATGAGATCTCACCACCAAAACCCATCAAGACATGACGAAAAGGGACAAAATCTAAAGATCTAACAACTTAGCAAGGAAAAGGTTAAGTCTTGGATACTCACCAAGGTCCAAAAGATATGTTAGAAGATGTAGATGATGCTTGCAAGGTGAATCACCACACCAAAGACTTCCTTCTCCTTCAAAGATCACCAAAAGTACCAAAATGAGTTCACAAATGCAATGGAGGTTACGGTTAGGGTTTCTGAGCTGGAGAGGGTGATGGAGGCTGAATGATCATGAAACCCTAGCCATAATGCCCTTTAAATAGGGCCCAATGCCCATTAATTAGAGTTTTCTCCAAAAACAGTTGCCACGCCATGACACCTATGGCCATGTCGTGGCAGGTCATTAAATTCCTGCAATCAATAAAATATTGCCACGCCGTGGTGAAGCTCCACTACGCTGTGACCATCCAAAATAAAAGTTTAACATTTAGAAATTAACTCATACCCGGAACATTTTTGACAACTCTCCCCCAATTGAATCAGACTTCGTCCTCGAAGTCCTTAGCTGAAAATAGACTCGGACAGTGCTCGCTAGGGGTGTACAAAAAAACGTACAAACCGCCTACACCGCACTGCACCAAACCAGACAACATAATGTAGTTTAGAAAGTTCACATTGCGGTTTGTGGTTTGTGATTTTGTTAAACTGCATCATGCAGTGCGATTTGCGGTTTTTAATTATAAAGTCATGGTTCAAACCACACCGCGCCGCAAATACACACATGTATGTGTGTGTGTGTGTGTATATATATATATATATATATATATATATATATATATATATATTACACTACTTATTGAATTTATAGCAAGATAGTGTTTATAAAAGACTCAGTGTTCATTTTTAAATTAGAAAAGAAAATTATTTTTAAATATAATGGTTCTAAATCTACTATTTGGTATTGGGTTATTGCTTCTTAATTATGTTTATTTTTTCAGTTATAAATTTCATGTTTGAATCTTGAAAGGAAGACTTTTTTGAAGTTTCTAAACCGCATAAACCGCACCGCACCGCACCGTACCATATCAAACCGCACCGCATAATGCGGTTTATGACTTTTGCGGTACAGTTTACGGTTTGTAATTTTTATAAACTGCACTAAACGGTGCGGTCTGCGGTTTTGACTATAAACCGCACCAAAACGCACCACGCACACCCCTAGTGCTCGCGCATCTTCGCTTCGGGCTCTCATGTACAATTGGAACCCTTCCGATGCTGACACTGAACCTGAACCAGATGGACCACCTTGTTGCATAAGGCCTTCGTCTTCCTACCCAAAATAGCCACCGACCTCTCAACATAATTCAGGTGCTCATCAACCTAAATTTCATCCAAAGGAACCACCACTGAATCGTCAACCACACACTTCCGAAGTTGAGAAATATGAAAGGTGCTGCGAATCCGACTAAGCTTTTCATGCAGATGCAATCGGTAGGCTACCTTGCCTACCCTCGCCACTACTCGGAACAGTACAATAAATCGGGGACCCAACTTGCTCTTACTGAAGCATATAACACCCTTCCAGGGTGATACCGTCAGTAAAACCATGTCCCTAACCTGGAATTCTAACTCGGATCATCGTCTGTCGGCATAACTCTTTTGTCGGCTATGGGCCATCTGCAATCTCTACCTAATCTGCTGGATGAGCTCCATCATCTGTAGGACTATCTCAATCTTCCTCGTGACCCTATGGCCGACCTCACCCCAACAAAATAGTGTATGACACTTCCTTCGATAGAGAAGCTTGAAAGGCAGTGCACCAATACTAGAATGATAGTTGTTGCTGTGAGAAAACTCGGCTAGGGGAAGGTAGGTGTAACATCCCAATTTTCAAGACCAAAAATTTTCTTTTTTTAATTAAGTAATTTATAAAACCATTTACTGAAAAACAACATCAATATCATATCAAACTCATAACCCATAAGTCAAATGTCATAAAAACATGTCATGGAATAATAATAATGTCAGAGTACAATCCCAAGGACATCATAGTGCGGAAATCGGGTGTGTGTGTGTGCGATGCGCTGCTACCGTGCCGGCTCCTTCACCTTCGATGAAGAGGTACCTGAAAACAAAACTGTAAACTGTAAGCACGAAGCTTAGTGAGTTCCCCCATCATACCACATACCATACAACATACATACTGCCAGGCAATTCTGGGGTGCCTGACCTACCCATGTCAAGCCATTCTGGGGTACTTGACTTACCCAGGTCAAGCCATTCTGGGGTGGTTGACATACCCATGTCAAGCCATTTTGGGGTGCTTGACTTACCCATGTCAAAGCATTCTGGGGTGCTTGACTTACCCATTGGTTTATCTCAACCGACTACTGGGGACTATTTCATCCCTACCACTACCACATAATAACATAACATAAACATACTGCTAGGCATGCATGGGTACTGACTACCCCTTCTGTATCTTTCAACCGGTATCCGGGGACTATTTCACCCCTACTACTACTAACACATATAACAGAGCATCCTAGCACCTAAATCATATCAGATAGTGGCAACCCAGACAATTATCACAAAGACAATCATCTCATACATAAACACCTACTGGTGGGCCAACATTGGTGCCTTAGACCCACCTCTACTGGAAGGTAACTCACCTCATAGAGCTGAGTGTCTAAACTGTCCTTGCTGCCGGGATCAATCCCTCTCAGATCCTACACATAACAATCTTCCTTAAATACCATTTCGTGGTCATCTCAGGTCAAAGTCCAAGTCAAGGTCAACACCTTGGTCAAAATCAACTCTAGGTCAAAGTCAACATCCAGTTGACTCAACTCGCCGAGTTGGCCCCACAACTCGTCGAGTTCCTAAATCATGAAAACGCCAAGACTCAATCCTACTCGCCGAGCCTTACAAGGGCTCGTCGAGTTCTCCTTTAAACAAAGTCAGGACCTTATACAACTGACTCGCCGAGTTCATCCTTGAACTCGTCGAGTTCATCTTTATCTGAGTTAAGATGTTTAGTCCTTGACT